GACTAAGCACCTATATTGCCAAACTGAAACTTTAGAGAACAGGAACCTACTAATACCTTGTTTCAGGGACCCAGAAGTCTCACGGTGGAAGGGACATTTTTCTCACATGTGCCTGTTCTCACCCACCTCTGCAAGAGTCTGTGGATAAGAAGCAAATCACCTTGACCTTACATTTCATGCCATTATTATTAACAGTGTTCACCACCAAAAGAAAGTCATCCATTAGAAACTGCAAATACACAAGGTAATGTTCTGACATTTTATCCTGCTTCAAGTATCCCTGTGTGAAAAAGCACAACCTTCTACCTTTTCAGCAATTAAAAATAAATTCAAGCAATTAGATCAGAGACCAAAGGTGAACTCTGAGTAATTCTGAGTGACACCATCAGGAACCATTAACCTGGTTATCTTGTCAGTCAGAGTCCCCAAGATAATGAAGATGATGACAAAGAAAAAGATGACGGTAAAGGTGATATAAAGATAAAGGGGTAGCTCAAAGTTAAGTAAGAAATTATCTGCCACCTTGCAGCTGCTCTTCCAGCAATGAGAACATAAATACACATAATATGCATGGTAACACACAAATTAAAATAAAACACCTATGAAATTAGTGGAATTACTAAGGCCTACGAGGCCTGAACTCTCTTTTTCAGAGCCTCTCTCCAGCCACTGAGCAGTTCTTTATCTGATCCAGCACACTTCTCTTGAGTATTCAGTCTTCAAAACGAGAGTAACAAGCAAAAAAGCTAGACACTCACTATGCAAACACCAGAGGCCAGAGATAGTTAGCCCAACTTTAGGTACTAATTATCATGCAACAATTCTCAGACTAAAAGCTCTGGGTATGTTGGGTATTTTGTTCTTTTGTAGTTTTGTATTTGTTATTTGGTTGATGTTGATGTTAATACCACATCACTGACCAAAAAAGAGTTCAAGAAAGCCCCATAAAAGAGGCACAGATATTTTTACACAGCTTAGAAAATCTGAGACCATTTCAGTCAGTCACAAAACTACCTAGATGTCATTTTTCCTGATGTTTGGCTAATCTCTTACAGAAAAGAAAAAAAAAAGCTCCAATCTCCCTGAATAATTTTAGTGAAGAAAACAAGGCAAACAATAACTTAACTGAGATAAAAGGGATAAAAAGATGTTATCCTTTGCAATGACCTAGTGTGAAATAATTGTGCTTTGCAGAGGTACTTGTCTTCTGAGTTTTAGATAAGAAAGTCTGAAATGAATTGTGGTCCTCATTGGGACTTATACTAGCTAATATAAAGAGCTATTGTTTTAGAGATGATAAACTACAGATGGAATTTTCTTCTGAGATGTTGGTGGCATAAAATTTTTCAATTTGTAAAGGTCCGTATATTATATCCAGAAAATACTTGAAGGAAGACATCCACACAAAATAAAGGCCAAATGGTAGTCATGGGGTATTTCTTGACCCACAAAGAAGAAAAATATTGAAAAAGGAAAGCTCATGTCCATAGTAGGGGAGGCTGTGAGACCTCCTCCCCACTCATAGGAAAGGTTCGAAGGTGAGCACTTCAGAATTACAATCACAGATTCATTTCTACTTCTGAACTAGTTGTGGCAATGACTCATTCTATTTCCTGGAATTGATATATAAATGTTAACTTTACAGTTGTGCTGTAAAAGTCCTGGCTAGATGGTTACTTTAAAAGTAAAAAAGTAAGAAAGAAAGAAACAAAAGGTGGTAAATTCTCTGAGGTCATGGTAGTAGAGTAAAACAAAATTTTAAGCAACGTCCATATTTTTTAAATATCCATCAAATTTATTTCAAATGATAAAACATCCAGTTGATTTTCTTAACAGTTATAAGAACTGATCACTGGGCATCAGAAGCCATGTAACACAGCCATCTGTTGATTACTTTGCATTTTTCAATGTTTATCTTTTTACCTTTCTCTGCTAAACTCAGCCTAAAGCAACAGTAAACTGTAAGAGATAAATTACTTCTGTGCACGGCTATGACAGCAGAGTCATTTGCTAAAGATTAAAGTTTTTAATTACTTTGCTTTGCTGATATGACTTTTTTATTAAATGTCAATCATTTTCCTGCTTACTGTGCCTGAGGAAAGCAGTGCTAGAGAAATGTGGCAGCACTGGCGAAATCAATCATCTCCAAACTGGACACTTCAACAGTTTATCCACTGTTTATCGGAGGAAAAATGAAAAGAAATGCTCTCACAAAAAAGAGTGGGTTTGTTCTTTTTCAGACTAAATGATCAGCTTGCTAAAAAACAACTAATATGGGCTAAAAAATGTCTGATCAATATCATAAATTATCTACACACTCCTACCACCATCAATCACAAATCATTTTCCCTTTTTGTGGCTGCAGTTCCAAGCTAGACTCATATTCCAAAGTCCAGCAAAATCTTGTCCTATGGATTTTAGTTTCACAATTACTCATTTCTTGTAAGAAGCATGTATTTTAAACAAAGAAATCATCTAAGTTAAGATTTTTCCCTCTTCCTAAATCACATTTCTTTAATTTAGCCATAACAATCTTTCTGCCGCATCATCCAAATTAAGAAAAAAAAAAAACACTTAGGGTTAACCTTCGTGAAGTATTTTAAACTGTGCTAAAAGCCAATGAGTTAAAATGATTAATAAATAGAATATAAAACTGCTTTTCGTTCTCACACACATACACATGCACGTCCCTCAACACAGACATAGCAGTGGTTTCTTAAAATTTTAGAGAAGACAATGATGTTTTGACCAGAGAATTTCCTTATCTACAAGTTTTTCCTGGAGGGTGGGCACAAATAAAAATATGAAAATGACATAGAAGGCTTTGCATCATTGGTTAGAATGGATCACACATTTCATATGTTGTAATCAACTTCTTTCTCATAAGGTTTCTTACTGGAAGGGCATTTTAACAGTGCCCCAAACCTCACCCTCTTTCATTAATGGCCACTCAGCATCAAGTTCTAAAAATTACTAGGAAAATGAGTTGGCTTTTGAAAAGTAAATGTAACTCAAAGAAAGGAAAAACCAAATGCTCTGCATGTGTGAAATCTGCAATGGCTTTGTCTCTATCTCCCTTTTTCTTTCCCCCAGTACTGGGGATCAAACTCAGAACCTTATGCTTGCTTGCGAGGCAGGCGTGGTGCCATTGAGCTAACCCGCCAGCCCTCTGTCGTCCTTTTTAATAAGTGTTCTGCTGGAAAAAAATACAAAAATTGCAGAGAATCTTCAAAAGAAAGTGGCTGAGTTCCTGAAATATAGCTGTCCACAAAACACAAGAGAAAAACATTCTGTGTACAATTACCAATGCTAAATAGTTTTCATTCAGGGTAAGATATCCCTTTATAGTATAATAAATTAACACATTTTAAATATTTTTAAAAATAAATAATAAAGTTTCTTTAAACCTGAAATTTAAAAACCTTTTCAGGATAAAATTTAAAGATTCTTCGTACCCAGATACTGGGGCATAATTTATCACAAGCTTATGTCTTTCATTATATATCAACACCTTTTATAAATATACACAATTCATACTCCCCAGCACACTAGACAACAAAATTGATGGGTACATGTGTAACTATTGTATCCCTGCCAGTTGGGAAATTATACTCTTTGCACACATATGATGTTTAAGAACAGCACCAACAAAAGATGCAGTCTCTTCACCACTGAAATAAAAGAGAAAGAAAACTGAAGATATTGGTGCTGAACAGGAAATTTTCCCCTGCAAAAGAAAATTAACTGTCCTTATTTAAAATATGTTCCACTTTTTTAGCCAACCAGGACTCTTTTCTGAGAACAAGTTGAATGAACATATTACACCGACCCACCAAAGCAATGGGATTGTTTTTTCTTTTAGGAATTGTGATTTTTTAAATATGATTTTGGCACAGATTTACCCTGTTCTGTGAAATTACAAGTCATATCATGCTGGGTAGAAAAGCAGACTGGCGAAGAAGATGGGCTCCGGAGTCAGAGGAAGGTGGCTTGAATCTGCCAGCAACAAGTAAGACCTGTACATCCCTGGAAGATTCCACACTGGGATCTCTTCATCTGCAGAGGGGTTCCTGTAATGATTATCTTCTAGCTGTGAGTTACTAGGGTGGTTACTGTAATAACCACCTCCTAGTTGTGAGAACTGAATATTGCTCAAAGTAAGTGCTCTATAATGATAGATGTATCATCTTTTTCATCATCATTATTGGGAACTTAGAGGATTTAGTCTAAATAAATAGATTTTAAAAAATAGAAAAAAACACTATTGTTGGTATTTATGCTGCACTAGCTTCTACGGTGATGCCAGAGTTCGTGCTGGTATTCATTTAATTCAGGTAGACATAATAATTCAACAGACACTGATCCTACTTGCCTGCCACTGACCAAGCTAAGCACTTCATGTGACTATTTCATTTCATCTTCACAACAACCATGAGATGAGGGTTATTATCACTCCTATTTTACAGATAAGGAGACCGAGATCAGAGAATTTAAATACTAGCCTAAGTTTGTCAAGTAAGACCTGGATCTGTGAGGTGAGCCCAGCCAATCTCAGTTTCAAAGCTTTCAGAGCTAACCTGTTTGTAATATAACAGTTTTATTAAATTATAAAGGAAAAATTGTAGGTAAGCTAAAAATTCATAGGACATTATCAACTTGTAAATAAATAAAATCATATTTCCTTCCAAAAGATCTTTTGTTAAAATATTATGATGAGGGCCGGGGTTCAGTGGTTCCACTGCCTGTTTTGCAAGTGCAAGCTCCCGAGTTAGATCCCCAGTACAAAACAAAAAACAAAAAACAAAACAAAACAAAAAAAAGCTATGATGTATTCTGCAAATCAGAGAGTTTCTAAATAACACATTTCTAAATTAGAAGTACATTTCAGATGTGCTCAAATTTCAAAGGTTATTATTTGAAGGCTAAAATCAATCATGCCGATTGCAAGAACACAAAAGAAAACCTTACAAGAGGGAGAAGAAAAGCAAAGTCATTTTTACCTGCTACTTGAATTGAGGGGATGAAGTTGAGTGCCAAGAGCAGCAGCCTGAACACCATTGTCCTAAAGCGGACCAGGGCTCCAGCCCCTCCTACCCGAGGAACCCAAGTGTGAGGTGAGCTGCAGACGCACCTGCCAGGCCCCAGAGTCTCAGTCATCCACTACCTCCGCCAACTGATTTCCCTTAAGGCACATGATCAAGGGACTCAAGCCACAGGCATTGCAACTTTCACACAGGATATTACATTGTTTTGATGACTTTAGACTTCTATACTAGACATCTATTTCTATACTGCTTTGATGACTTCAGATATATTTTAAAAGCAAGCCTTTTCTTGTCACTGAAAAAGAATACCAATCACTGTGTGTGGGATTAACTTCAACTGTTGGGTAACAGAATTCTGAAAAGAGGGCACCTGAGATCCACCAGAGATTTGAGAGTAGTTACACAAAGTGGTTTTTTAAAGTCCAGGAATTGAATTCACAGCCTCACACATACTCTGCCACCAAGATACAACCCAAGCCTACTATTCATTCTTTCATTCATTCATTCATTAGTGACTGGATCTAAATTGGCCAGTCTAGTATCAAACTTGCAATCCTTCTGCCTTGACAAGGTGTTCTAAAGGAGGAAGACAACCTCTTGAAGAGGAGATATTTTTATAGGATAGGAATTAATTATGTAAAAAATATAAGAATTATATTGAGAAGCTGAGAAACAATGTCTGTGTAAGTGCTTAAAAGAGTTTTTACAAACATTAGAGATTTAATATTTCTGTGGGTCACAAGGTAGTCCTATCAAGAATTTAGCACATTGATCCCTGGTCCCCTCCCCCCAAAAAAGAATTTAGCATATATTGCTTGGTTTCTGCCAACCCTGCCCTAACTGACTTCCAGGAACTGTGCAAAACACACCCAACTTGCAAACCCTCAGTCAGCTGAGTGTCTGCAAGAGGCTTCCCAAGCAAAAAAAATGTCAAAAAAGGTACAGAAAGTTAGTGAAAAACCGCGGGATATTTCATCCTGTTTGCTGCCTCCAGGAATCACTCAAGGTTAAGCCACAGGCTTCAAGAGCTCCAGTGCAGCCCTCCAGTGCTCCTCTCTCACTTCCGGGACTCATGTGGAAAAGAACATTCTCCCAGCAAGTCCAGCTCCTTTCAGGGCCTCCTCTTCCGGTACTCCCATCTGTGTCTTGTATTCATTGGCCTTCTCAAAACTTCTCCAGTAATTTGTTGCTCTTTTCCCAGTTTTCTGGGCTTTATATAATTAGCATAGTTTGTGGTTTTGTGTATGTGTTTTTCAATATAATTTATTTTGTTTTTTATTCTGATCATAAAAGTAAGATACATACCATATTTTAAAAGATTAGAAAAAAGATAAACATTAAAATAAGAGTCACCTACAATCTTACCACCCTGGCGTAAATGCCATTACTATTTTGATCTGTTCCCTTCTATCTGTTTATTAAGATTTTGATACATTTAGTATCGTCTTATTTATACTTTTCAACAGATATATATACTATTATCTATTATACCTTGAACATTCTCCCATGTGATTTGTCTTTATAAAAATTAATTTATTTATTAACTGGTATATAAAAATCTCACATACTAATGGAGTACCCTATGATGTTTTGATATATACATGCATTATACAATATTTAAATAACCATAAGGATATCTGCCTCCTCAAACACTTAGCATTTGTCTATGATGAGAACATTCAAAATCTTTTCTAGCTTTTTGAACTGTACAGTACATTATTTTTATTGCAGACACCCTATTATGTACACTAAAATTTCTTGCTCCTATCTAGCTATAACTTAGTTCCCATCAATCAATCTCTCTTTATCCCAACTTTCTAAATATGTTGTAACCACCCTTCTATTCTCAACTTCTATGTGATCAACTTTTTTATATTCCACATCTGAATGAGATCAGGCAGTCCTTTTCTTTCTGTGTCTGCCTTATTTCACCTAACATAGTGGTCTCCTATTCCATCCACATTGCTGCAAATAACAGGATTTCACTTTTTATGAGTGAATAGTGTTGTGTTGTGTATATGTACCATATTTCCTTTATCCATTAATCTGTTGATGATGGGCACTTAGGTTGTTTCCATTTCTTAGCTATTGTGAACTATGCAGTGATAAACATGGATGGTAGATTAGGTGTCTCTTCTTGCATACTGATTTCATTTACTTTGGGTATATACCCAGAAGTGGGGCTTTCTGGACATATGGTATTTCCTCTTCTTCTACTTCTTCTTCTTCTTCTTCTTTCTCTTTCTCTTCCTCTTCCTCCTCCTCTTCCTCTTCCTCTTCTTCTTCTGTAATGGAGATTGAACCCAGGTGCATCCTTAGGTCTTTTTTATGTTTTATTTTGAGGCATGATACAGTTTAGTTCCTAAGTTGCCCAGATGGGGCTCAAACTGCTGTGCTCAAATTTACAATCCTCCTGCCTCAGGTCCCAAAGTGCAGGGATTACCAGGGTGGGTCACCACATCTGGCTCTATTTTTAGTTTTTTGAGGAACTTCCATAATCTTTCTCATAGTGGACATACTAATTTATATCCCCACCAATAATGTGCAAAGAGTTTCCCTTTCTCCACACCATTATCAGCATTTATCTTTTTTGTCTTAGTAACAACACCCATTCTTACTGGAGTGAGATGGTATCTTGTGGTTTTGATTTGCATTTCTGTGATGATTAGTGGTGTTGAGCATTTTTCATATGCTTGTTAGCTGTCTGTACATCTGCTTTTGAGAAGTGTCTGTTAAGATCTGTGCCCATTTTTTAAATCAGGTTATATATTAGTCAGCTTTCTCTTTACTGCACAAAATATACAACATTCACAACTTAAGAGGAGAGGCTTAATTTGGCTCATGTTTTCAGGGGATTCAGTCCATGGTTGGCTGGCTCCAAGACAGAAACACCATGGCAGAAGATGTGATGGAGCAAAGCTGCTTAGTGGCTGGTGGCCAGGATGCAGAGCAGGAGAACAGCACTAGATAGACGAACCTGGGCTGTAGACACAGAGAAGTAAAAGTGAATTTCAGAGTTTTTACCACTTACTGCTCTTCAGCTATATTTCTCTCCAGTTGGCTAAATAAATCACATTCATCCTTCCAGGGTCAGAGTAAATAGGACCTCCTCAAAGGTGTTTTCTAGCCATCACACACACACACACACACACACACACACACACACACACCTCCCTACTTCCAACCTATTTGAATCACGTCTCCCTGTTATCTCCAGCACATTCTCTTTACAGCATGTTCAAATGTCATGAAAAATGTATCTTCAAACTTGTTCATGTTAGGATTTGTTTAGCATCTTTGTCCCCCATCCGCTAAACATGAAAGCAAAATACAGGTCTCTCACATTCACAGCCACATCACTGTGTCTAACTCATACCAAGTGTTCAGTAAGACATTTATTGAAGGAATGAAACACTTCACATTGCTCCCTTGGACCCCTCCAGTCAATGTGGCTGCAGTTCTGGATATCTCTCCTGGTTCTCTGACCAGGATAATCTTGCCCTACCTTGCTTTCTAAAGATAAAAACACTAGGAGTCCTCCAGCTTAAAATGTACCTTGTCGCTAGCTAGAACTTCAGCACTGTATTCCTGTCTATTCCCCCGCCCTGAGCAGTGTAGTTGACAGTGCAAGAGATTCAAAGACAGCCACTTCCTTTACAACTTATTTCTTGTACAGCCAAGGCCAGAGTCATATCTAACCACTCGGCATTGCTCTCTCCTCTCTCCTGAGGCCCCTGTGGGTCCCCTATGGCCTTGGGAATGCTTTCTAAACAGAATTCATAACTAGACTCAGTTTATTACTCTGAATACAGAAGAGAAAAGATAACTGACTTGAGAATTCCAGTGGCTAAAAGCACAAGACTTGAAGTCTCACAGCTATGGGAGCGGGAGTTGCTCAAAGTCTAATTTCTAGCTATCTGCTCTTACAAAGCCATAGTCTCAATTCCTCTTACATAAAACAAGGACAAAATAGTTCACTAGATATCTTAGTGATATGTCACACAGTGAAAATCTCCTCTATCCTTAAGTTGGAAATAAGGTTTAATCTCACACTTCTTGTAAAAGTTGAATAAATGCTTATTGGATAAATCAGAATAGATCACTGAATACATGTATAATATATTTATGTGGCTTGACTTCACTTTACAGCATGAGTGCTGCCAAAACCCTGGCTTAGAAATTAATTTTACATTCTTCCTTGATACAGAACCCTTCAGAAATAACCTATACTATTATAAGCTACAAAGTATCATTGAAGAGTCTTCAAGAATTATAGTTATCAAGCTATAAGTTATTATAAGTTGTCAACAAAAAACCCTATGGCTTTCCTGACACACAGCAAGCCTACCAAGATAAGGTCCTTTTAAATCTAAATTCCAGCTAGAAAGATGCTTTTCATTCTCATTTCTAATTTTCTCCAATGCTCTGCCTTCCAGAGAGGTTCTAGTACTTACAGGGTGATTGTGGAGGAAAACAAATGAAGCCTGAAATTCTCTCTTTGAGCTTTTTAGTACAATTCCAGCTGTTGATATAAAAAAAAAATCATTCCAATAATAGACAAAGTTGAAGTTAAGAAAGCTGTATATAGTACCAAAAGCCAGTAGAATCAGTCTAAAAGAGAAAATGATGCTAAATCTAAATGAAATGAAAATTTTTTTAAAATATTGATCATATTGATCAACTAACCCACTGAGTAAACAAGTATTTGTAAAAAGATATATCTGAAGAAATAATCTATAAGGTTTTAGCAAATATTACACCAAAAAAAGTGGTGACAAATAGCTTAAAAACCTTTGGCCACTTAGGCAGGCCTATCACTTCAACGCACTAGCTAAAATTTTTCCTGGCTTCCAGCTTCCAGGTATTATTCTAAATCCTAAGTACGTTTTGACTCATTTAATCCTCACTCCAGACATAGGAGATTGGCACTTCCATTATCTCCATCATATAGATAAAGAAACTGAAGCCTAGGTTAAATCGTTGCCTACTATGACATGCTAAGGTGTTTTGTCTGTTTTGTGTTGCTAAAACAGAATACTCCAGACTGTGTAATTTATAAACAAAAATTTATCACCGCATAGTTTTAGAGGTTGAGAAGTCCAAAACAGAAGGGCTACCATCAATCAAGGACCTTCTTGGTATATTATCCCATGCTGGAAGAGCAAAGAGATCAGACTCATGGCCTCAAGGCCTTTTATGACCAGCCTTTATCCATTCATGAGGTGGAGCCTCCCATTAGGGAACACCTCCCAGCACTGTGTACTTTTGGGATACACCTTCAAACCACATGACAAGGTTCATTCACTTGATAGTCTGAAAAAAAAAAGCAGGAGAGTAGAACCATTAAAAATCGAGCAACAGCACTAACAATCAGATATCACCTAAGCCATTACAAGAAAGTAAACTTACAAATCTTAGGGTCCAACAATATTGTTATCAGAAGTACATTGTTCTCAAAACCCTATTTTTCTGAAAATCTAATGATGTCACTGAGCCATTTTCTTTTGGTACCACTGAAGACCAGCTGACTACATTGCTG